GTTTTATAATTCACAATTTTGGCCTAGTTGAAGGCTTATTTTTATTTTTTTAGAGGAAAAACTAGTTGGTAAGCCAGGGTGTGTGCTGCTGATGTAGAAACTTTCCCAAATTTATAATAAAAATATTAAAAATACCAGCTACAAAACTGAAAAGGAGAAAAATCCTGACTTCATTTAAAAATCTGGAAGAGTATTTCAGTGTCTTTGTTTTTATTCTGCTTGCTTGTTTGTTTTGTTGTTTAGCTTCCTGTTAGAGGTGAGATTATATGGTATTTGTCTTTCAACACCTGGCCTATTTCACTCAGCATAATGCTTTCCAGTTCCATTCATGTTGTTGCAAAGAGAACAAGGGGACAGTGACCAGAGGGGAAAGGGAAGGGAATTTAAAAGGAAAAAAAGGGAGGGGTTTGGAAGAACAAATAGGAAGGACACAGGGACGAGAACTAAGGGGGGTGGAAATGGGAGGGAGGTGGGGTGCACAGGTTAGGGGGGGCTGGGATGGGAGAAATAGACAAAAAACTGTACTTGAAAAATAATTAAATAAAATTTTTAAAAATGCAAAAAAATCTGGAAGAGTAAATTCAACTTCTTTTGTTGAAAATTTATCAAAATCATATATTCTGTTATTGAAAATTCCCCTCATCAGTCTTTCAGCACCAGAATCACCAAAATAGTTAAGCAGAAGTTTAATTATTTAGAAGTTCTACTAGGATTCCCTTCCCATTTTCGTAGCACCTGAACACAATCTTTAATTAGATTTAATTAAATTGTGGCTTTAGATTTCAAATACTTTGGTGAAGGTGCAAAACAGGACTAAGACTTGGAGGACAGAATACCTACCCAGAACTCCTACCCCACAATAACCCTGACAACAGCTAAATTCTTAAAACTAAGGATAGCCCTGGCTGGTGTGGCTCAGTGGATTGAGCACCAGCCGGTGAACTGAAAGACTGTGGTTTGATTTCCAGTCAGGGCACATGCCTGGGATACGGGCCAGGTTCCTAGTTGGGCTTTCTGTGAGAGGCAACAGATACATGTATCTCTCATACATTGATGTTTCTCTCCCTCTCTTTCTCCCTACCTTACCCTCTCTCTAAAAATAAGTAAATAAAATATTTTTTAAAAACCTAAGAATGGTCATAAATAGTAAACACCAATGAAGTATTCCAGGTGTGAATGCCTTAAAGGCCATTTAATACCACAGAGTTCTCTGGACAATGACATCACGAAAAATAACAGGTTGTATCTAACCATATTTGCCTTGTACAGCTTCAGAACATTTCTGCGTGCAGCCAAGAATGGTAGAGGAAGACAGAGAATAGTGGTCAAGGAGCAGCTTCACACATATGAGAAGAGCCCACCATAGTCAAAGTAACATGAACTGCACAGCTGAACATCAATATGAGCACCATAGTGTTTTACAGTTTGTTCATGTTTATCAACCTTGATCAGCATTGCATAGCTTTGATACACATAGGCATGGCTTTGTCAACACTCACAAGGCAAAGTCAACCATAGTAAGAAAATAGCACTTTTACCATTTTACATGTCATTGAAACAAGTTTATACTAGTGCTATAAAACTGATGATCTTATGTGTGATTTTAAAAGATCCACAGTGTCTAATAATTACTATTCAATTATTGTTTTGTGTCTGAACTTAAATACATTTAGGAAGATATCTGAGGATCTAACATGCCAGAAAACCTCCCCCCAAAAGAGTAAACAGGTAACATAGAAATAGCACACACAGTAATTTATATTTAAAGGAGGCCAGATATACAGTGACAGAAGATGATCTGACTTAGGGTGGTGGGCAAACAATGCAACATACTGGTCATGTATCCTAGAAATGAACATTTGAAACCTATATGATTCTATGAACAAATGTCACCCCAATAAATGTTTAAAAACCCACAATAGTTAATACCAAGGTAAATAAAAATTAAAAATATATTGAAATAGAACAAACCACACACACACAAGTGAATGCTGCAAGAGCTCACATGACTCCAAACTCTGCTGAAAAGTATAAAAATTGATGAGCCATGTAATAGATCATATTAAAGGAGCTACTTTTGTTAATAGACATTAATATAGATTGCCTAAATTCAGTTAATGTTAAGTACTACTCCACAGAAAAAGAAGACACATTGCATTTTTGAAAAAGCACTTAAAACTGGACATCTTTGGAGCCACAAAAGTTCTGATAGAATGTATTGGAGGAGACACTTTGCATTTCTTTTCTTTAACAGGCCACTACATCCTAATATGTTGCTACTTCTTTCCAACACAGTGCTGCTACCGCTGTGAAGTACTGGGAATGAATGCTACTACTTGTTAACATGTGACTTCAGACATATATTTTATCTCTCATAATTGGGAATCCTATAATTCTAGTTGTATTCAGTTTCATTGAGGGTAGAATTAAATGTAAATGGTGAAAAAATGTTACATAAAACCTGTCATCAAGTAGATGATAAAAGAAATTCATTCGGTTTCAACCTATTGTACCTTGCTGTGAAATTCAAAGGTAAAATAAAAAGGTATTTACAGGTTCAACAAAAGACTAGTAATAAGAAGGCAACTAACAAGTGGTAGTCTTCACTATAATATTTATCATATTTTTAATAAATATGATCACTGCCTTCAATTAATGAGTAACAGAAAAGCTCAGACTTAAAATTAATAGCTAATAGTAAACGGTATTCAAAAACTATATATACTATAGAAAATCAGAGAAAAAAACTTTTAGCTTGAATCAGAATAATTAAAATACACTTCACATGGATGTGTGATTCCAGTATAACTACCAACTTTAAAGCATTTTATGTGCTCAAAATGTAGGCTTCATTACTAAACATAAGTGCCCAGAACAAAATCCTGAATTTTAAAAACACTCCATACAGATAATTTATGAGTCTAAAAAATTGGCAGCTACTGAGTTCCTTCTATGTGTCTACATGGAATGTTTCTCAAAACTTCAAAATGAAGCCAAACAGAACCCAATGTGAAGTATAGGTAGATGGCGTGAGTACAGAGGAGCTGAGCAGCAGAAAGAGCATTTCATGAATTAACCAAGTTCTGTCAGAAGATGTAAAAAAAATGTTTATTTTATTTCCAACTATGAGTCCATTCTTTGAGGATACTGACTCTAGAGTGTGACCTTTCAGCTCACATTTCAATTTGCCTTTTGCCAAATATTAGTTGTTATTCTCTTCTCCACAAAATATTATTAAATTCGGAATGATAGCATATTGACTGATAAAAATATTTCTTAAATATTATTACTGTCATCAACCTATGGTCATTGGCATTAATTTAATTCAACACCAACAGGATTCCCAATCTGGGCTACTATGAAAAAAGGAATTTTAGTCAGTGCAAATGTTACAGAACACAGGGGGCCCGAGGACAGTACACTACTACCAAAAGAACCCCCTACTGGGCTTGTCCACTGCCATAGGAAAGATGTCTCTCAGTGCCAGAGATTTGTGAAAAGGAAAGGAAATGTTTATTTAATGCTATACAGACTTAAAGTAGTGACCTAATATCTTCATTTAAAATATCAAAGTCCTTTTGGATACCCACAGATGCACACAGTGCTTCCTTCTCCCCCTATCCTAATTCAGGGCACCGTAACTCAGGAAAAGAAGCAAATGTCCAGGATCCAGGCTCCTGGCACCATCAGCTGTGTCACTGTCAAGGCAGGATCTCTAACTAATCCAAAGCCATGTGGCCCATCTCATGGCAAGAGTTGTTTGTACCCATTTTCCAGGCAAAGTCTCTCCTGCTTCCCAAGTCACTTGGCCAAAGGGAGCACCCCAAAGCCATGTGGTCCTCCTCTACCAGAGATGCAGGGGTCTGGACTCTGGCCAAACCATGTGGATCTCTTTTCCTGGCAAAGCCAAGAGGGGGTCCTCACTCTGGCAAAGCCTCGTGGCTCTCTCTCCAATGGCTGCTGTGTCTGGGTTTGAACCCCCATGCCAATCTTCCTCTGTATCCCCATTTTCAACTCCTCCCACAATCAGTTATACCTGTCAGCATTCCTGTATTATTCCAAGTTTACTGGGCTGCCATCGTGAGTCTGGGCAGGTATGGCCCCATGTCATGGAGCCAATCTTCTCCAAGCTCCCATGCAGGTGCTATAACTCGGGAGACCTGCCCCCCTGTTACATCTTTGGTGGGGGTAACTTGCATCCCTCTGGCTCCAAGCATGACCACAGCTACTTAACATATCTAAGCAACCAGCCAAAGGCTATAGGTATGTTAAATGACCATGCCATGGATTAGCTGTAAGGCTGTGGCTGTACAAAACAGCCCTGCATGTTCCTACTCCATTTGTCCCTCCCCACAACTCACACCTGTAGGAGAAAGGGTGAAGGCATCTTATATGTCTCTCCAATATTTCCTAGATACCTTGAGTTCTGGACCCCATTTCGAATCTCTATTTGGGGCTCCCGTTTTGGCTGCACACTGTATCTCAAAGACCTCAATTGTGATACAATGCAACTCACTATGAAAACAGCTCAATAGCGATACACCTCAGTTATGAAGCAGTATGGCATAACTGCGAGGTGGCCCTGGGGCCAGGTCAGTCTGTGGCAGAAGAGCTCTGCTCTGGTCTGCTCTGGCCCCCTCCTCTCTGCCCTGCACTGGTCTTCTCTGCTGCTCTAGCAGGACAATTTCAGTGTCCCACTGTTACCGAACAAGAGGAGGTCCAAGGGAGGGGCAATACAATATTTGGCCCACCTAGGGATGCCCAAAACTGCTCTACAACAGGGGCCCCTCCCAAAAACAAAATACTGAAATCTACTGGGCCCTTCTGTCCGCCACCAATTGGAAAGACATCTCTTAATGCCAGAGATTTGTAAAAAGGAAACAAAATGTTTATTTAATGCTACTCAGGCCTAATGCCACCACTAAAATATCGAAGTCCTTTAGGTTGTACACCTACACCCACACAGCGCTCCCTTCTCCCACTGTCCCAACTCCGGGTACCGTAAATCAGGAAAAGAGCACACGTCTGTGTTTCAGGCCGCTGGCACCGTCAGCTGTGTCACTGTGCAGGATCTCGAGTTAATCCAAAGTACCGTGGTACCCTCTCATGGTCCACTGGCAAGAGTCCTTTGTACCCAGTTCCAATCAAAGTCTCTCTTGCTTTTTCAGGCCCCGCAGCCAAAGGGGGCACCCCAAAGCCGCGTGGGCCTCTTCTACCAAAGCTGCAGGGGTCCGCACTCCAACAAAAGCATGTGGCTGTCTTCTTCACCTGGCTGCAGGGATCTCCCTTCTGGCAAAGCTGCGTGGTTTTTCCCTTTCACCTGGGAAAGAGGGGGTCTGCACTCTGGCCAAAACCACGTGGCTCCCTCTTTCACCTTACCAAGAGGGGGTCCTCACTCTGCTTAAACTGCGTGGCTCTCTCTTCACCTGGGCAGTTCTCCCCTCATGTCCTGGAGCCAGTCTTTTCCAAGCTCTCACCCAGGCACCTCACTCAGGAGCGCAGCCCCTCGTTACCATTTTGAGTCCAAACCCTTCTCACTCAGGAGAGCAGCTCCTAGTTTCCATCCTGAGTCCCCGCCACAACCTTCTCTCCCTTCTCAGGAGCGCCGACCCTAGTTCCCATCTTGAGTCCTCCTAGTTCCATCCTCAGTCCCTGGCTCCAAACTTGGCCACAGCTATTTAACATATCTATGAAACCAGTTAAAGGTTATAGATATGTTAAATAATCATTCCAGAGGTTAGCTGCAAAACTGTTGCTATGCAAAACAGCTCTCAATGGCCTGGCTCCATTCATCCCTTCCCCCTGGGGGGGGGTGGTGAGGACATCTTATATGTCTCTCCAATATTTCTATACACTTTGAATTCTGGACACTTTTCTAAATCTTTTTTGGGGGCCCCCCTGTCTGTACCCTGTATCACCACCGTCCATCTTTGTTGTTTCAGCTCCAGTGGGGAAAACACATTCTTCAGTTTTCAATGGACAGGGAAAGTGTGCTCTCAGAGAAAGAGGATTACTGACATATAGCCAGAAGTTTCCCCACCCTCCCGGTTTCTGATTGTTTTATTTTCATTAAAATGAGGACTCCAAATCCTCACAGTTTAAGTGCTCCAAAAGACACTGTCTTGATCGGTCAGAATGGAGCCATTCTAATTGGTCACTGAAGATGTTTGATGGAGGAAGCTCCAGTTGGTGGGGGAAGGGCTCAGTCCTACCGGATGAAATAGAATTTAGGAGCTTCTTTACAATGTCTGGTTTAGCTGGCAGAAACACAGTGGAAGAAGGCAGTTCAGTGTAGGAAGCAGACAGCTTAGAGCAGGCTTTCACCTAAAGTGTGGCTTGTGTGGGAGCCCCCTAGATAGAAATAACTGTTAGGCTAGGGGTTTTGTTTTTTTAATTTGAGCCCAGTTAGCCACCAGGAGCCCTTCTTACTAGGTGTCTTCTTTCTCATGATTCCCACTGGTAGTATTTATCAAACTTCAGTGTGTGACAAATTGGTGTTCATTGAAAAAAACAAAGTCTATCTTTATATGAAATCTTAATCTAGTGAACTCTCAGCATCAATACAAATATATTAGGTGGAATTGCTAGTTATATTTTGTGTAAGCATTTTCATGAGCTGGTATGTTATTAAATCTTTAGGAATGTAATCAAAATGACACCCTTTTCTACCATCTTCCAGGGAAAATGAGTCCATGAATATAAAACAAAAAATTTACTCTCTCCATATAAATCAGATGGGCTAAATACACATTCACCAAGATTGAAAGTTTCTGTGGAGTCTGGAGAGATCAAGAAGATGTGGCAAAAAACAACTCCATAGTCTACCATGTTCCTGTTCCTTGCTGTGCAGGGGAGACTCTGGGATGGCTCACTAACCTGTGCAGTCTCCCATCGCTAGAGATCTCTCCACAACACTTACAGGAAGAGTCAAACCCTGAGAAATGTCTTTCTGTTATACAAAGGCCTTTCTCTCCTTGCACTCCATATGCTGTAGTTACTCCCTGGAAAGAAAGCTTGTCCTGGGCATTCTTTAAAAAAACAAAATCTAAAAAGCCCACCCAGTCAACTAAATTCCACAGTCATGTTACACCCTTATCCAGAGAAATCTAATTTTAAAAGCTACCATTGGAGAGCATGTAAGATCTGGTTCTGAAACCATACCTTTCTGGTATGGTTTCTGGAAACCATACCTTTCTGGGTATGTTAGAATTCTCAGTCAACCTTCTGCTGAGTACATTACATATCACTGTGTGACATTCCTGCCTATTTTTTCATAACTGCAGTGATAAAATGCACCCAATATGGTTATTATGATAATTAAAAATGCATGTAATACACTCAATGTAGGGTATTTCTTATGATAAATACTCAATATTAGCTCTATTTTACTATTTTTAACATGTTATAATCTTGCCCTGGCTGGTGTGGCTCAGTGGATTGAGTGCTGGCCTGCTAGCCAGAGGGTCACCGGTTTGATTCCCAGTCAGGGCACAGGCCTGGGTTGTGTGCCAGGCTGCAGTTGGGGGTGTGTGAGAGACAACCAAACACTGATGTTTCTTTCCTTCTCTTTCTCCCTCTCTTCTCTTCTGTCTAAAAATAAATAGATAAACAATCTTTTTAAAGTTAAAAAACATGTTACAATCTTATCATCTGCATCATTGCACATTGTAAAAACTCCTTTCAAAAAATTTGCAGTAATATATTTCTGATCCCTGACATAAGTTCCATTATCCCTGTGTCTCAAATTTAGAAAGGTGAATTTTTGTTAGAGACTTTCTCTCATTAATTCTTATTACAGAAAACTTATTTAATAGTCATTTTATGAATTAATTTTGTCTCCTCTAAATTAGGGAGCCTGATTTCCCATGACTTTTGCTGTCATGAAGGGCAAATTTGATCCTGTTGTACAATACCTCGTAGAAGTAAACCTGAACACTATTTTACTAGAAAGAAAACAATGGAGACTAATTTAGGAAACTGGTAAAAATGAAAAAAATATAATTTATGTTCTAAAAGAAGACATTTTATTACAAGCTAACATATGAGTGTGATATGTCTATTCCTGGAAAAAAAAAAACATTGAATGACTTACACATACGTACACCTACACATATTCACCACTTAAATTTTTGACCAAATATTATTTTTATAATGGTAACAAACACTAAAATATGATCTGTATCACAAAATATAAGGAATAGTGTACTAAGGTAAATGAAAGATGAGGATTGTTACTGAACAAGTCCGGTCCGACGGAGGGGGCGATATATCTGGCCCACCTAGGGATGCCAAATATTGCTATATAACAGCCCCCCCCCAGGACAAAATACTAATATCTACTGGGCTCTTCTGTCCGACGCCAATTGAAAAGACATCTCTCAATGCCAGAGATTTGTGAAAAGGAAACAAAATGTTTATTTAATGCTATTCAGGCCTAACGCCTTCACTAAAATATCAAAGTCCTTTAGGGTATACACCTACACCCACACAGCTCTCCTTCCTCCCACTGTCCCAACTCCGGGTACCGTAAATCAGCAAAAGAGCACACGTCTGTGTTGCAGGCTGCTGGCACTGTCAGCTGTGTCACCATGCAGGCAGGATCTCGAGTTAATCCAAAGTACTGTGCTACCCTCTCATGGTCCACTGGCAAGAGTTCTTTGTACCCAGTTCCAGTCAAAGTCTCTCCTGATTTCCAGGTCACGTGGCCAAAGGGAGCACCCCAAAGCTGCGTGGGCCTCTTCTACCAAAGCTGCAGGGGTTCTCACTCCACCAAAAGCATGTGGCTTTCTTCTTCACCTGGCTGCAGGGATCTCCATTCTGGCAAAGCTGCGTGGTTTCCTCTTTCACCTGGGCAGTTACCCCCTCATGTCCTGGAGCCCATCATTTTTCCAAGCTCCCACACAGGCCTCTCTCCCTCAGGGGCACAGTCTCTAGTTCCATCTTGAGTCCCCGCCACTCCCTTCTCTCTTGCTCAAAACTTGGCCACAGTCATTTAACATATCTATGAAACCAGTTAAAGGTTATAGATAAGTTAAATAATCACTCCTGAGGTTAGCTACAAAACTGTTGTTATGCAAAACAGCTCTCAATGGCCTGCTCTATTGATCCCTTGGGGAGGGGTGAGGACATCTCATATGTCTCTCTAATATTCCTATACACTTCGAATTCTGGACAACATTCCAAATCTTTTCGGGGCTCCCCACAGCTGCACCCTGTATCAGGATGACTAATTATATGCTCATCGAATGGCATCTATCACCCTCACTGACTAGTACAGTGAAGTCATCACTGTTCACACATGTGCATTCCAGTCCATTCTCTTTGGCTGCCAGGTTGCATTGATGCCACGTAAAATGTTCTCATTGTATTAACAATGGCTGGACTTTTTCTGGACGGACTTCATATATATTTATGCGCCATATGCCTACATTCCTTTTGGGGAATTTCTTATGGTCTAGCTTTATTAAATGAGAAAATTCAAGTGATTAAGAGTAGAAAATCTGGAGATAAATTCTTAATTGTCGATAGCATAATTTTGATTAATCACTCAAGTTATCTGACCTTCATTTGTGAAGTAAACAGAAAGTAATATGACTCTCAAGTGAGATAATAAAATGCTTGGTACACAGCTTAACAAGGGTGGTATTTTATGGATTTATACGGTGTAATTTCTCATTTCATTTGATACATGATTATGGCAAGTATCAAGCCAATCATGAGCTTAAGTGATTCATTTTTAATTTTGCATTTATACTTTGTAAGAGGGAGTTTAAGAAGAATGTATACTTAGGTGTATACTATTTATAAAAAGAGCCAACAGAGACCAGAAACATATTACAAACATCAGTGTTACATTAAACTATGCATTAGTTCTTTTTCCACTATCATAGTGTAAGATAAAGTATATTAACTGTTGGGTAATGTTGACCAAAGAATGGGTAGATATGCAAGTTACTTGTAGAAGGTCTTAAATCATCTGAGGGTGTAGACTATAAATTCACCTTATCGTATAGAAGTGGGTTTCTACATATAATCTGTTGTAGACCACTCTGCCTGGTTCTAGGAATTATATCTCCACCCCTTGTGGCTAAGGGCGAGGGA